TACTAGTGTGCGCTTTTTTCATTACAAATGTTTGTAGTGTTCTGCTTGTGTTCACTACAAAATTACTAGTGTGCGCTTTTTTAGACTACAAAAGTTTGTAGTGTGCGCTTTTTTCATTACAAATGTTTGTAGTGTTCTGCTTATGTTCACTACAAAATTACTAGTGTGCGCTTTTTTAGACTACAAAATTACTAGTGTGCGCTTTTTTAGACTACAAAAGTTTGTAGTGTGCGCTTTTTTCATTACAAATGTTTGTAGTGTTCTGCTTGTGTTCACTACAAAATTACTAGTGTGCGCTTTTTTAGACTACAAAAGTTTGTAGTGTGCGCTTTTTTCATTACAAAGGTTTGTAGTCTTCTGGTTGTGTTAATGACAAAGTTTGTAGTCTTCGCTTTTTTCATTACAAAGGCTTGTAGTGTGCGCTTTTTTCATTATAAAAGTTTGTAGTGTCCGCTTTTTCATTACAAAAGTTTGTGGTCTGCTTTTCTGATATGTTGTAGTCTCCTATTATCTATGTAGGTATATGGGGGTAGACCTGATGTTTCAGGCAAACTGACTGCAGCCAAACAGCTGGAGGCTTGTAGTCTGCTTTTCTGATATTCTCCTTGTATCTATCTAGGTAGATGGGGATGATGAGAACATGACTGAAGCTGGTCAAAGGGAAAGTCAGAGCACTTTGTGCTCAGTTAAAACACAACCTGGGCATGAATTCTGACATCTCAGTGTAACCTCTTCTCACTTTGTATTTCATCATCATATAATTCCCTGGAGGGGACAAAGGCTGAATGATGGCTATTTGGTTAAATTCAGTTGCTCTGAAACATTGAGCTATATCCCCATCTACCTAGATAGATACAAGGAGAATATCAGAAAAGCAGACTACAAGCCTCCAGCTGTTTGGCTGCAGTCAGTTTACCCCACAAAAAATGGCACCCAATGGACCAGTATTGCAGCCTGCAGAAATAATTTATATATTTTGGAAACGGACCCCAGACACCCTATGACAGCTTTGGTATGATGGTATGAAGTGACATCATACCATCTGGTATGGTATAACAGGACATGGTATGGTATGGTGACATGGTATTGGTATGGTATGGTAACATGGTATTGGTATGAGTGGGGTATGGTATGGGTTTTCCATTCCATGGTACCATGGTATTGGTATGGAGCTCATATACCACCCCGGAATGGGTACCCCCAAGGTACCCTAAATCAAGGAATTGATGTACCTCATAGGTACCCAAAAATGGGTGACTGAAGTGCCATTTTCAATAATTGTATCTCTTGGATATTATCAGTACTTTACAGTGCCCCACCTATTCCTGCAGGAATTCAGTCATTCCTGTGGAATTCCAGAGGAATCCACAGGAATCCACAGGAATCCACAGGAATTCCACTGGAATCCAGTGGAATTTCACTGGAATCCTCTGAACTCATGTAGATTACCAGTACATGTCCTGATC